TCAAGCATTCTCATATTCTGCAGCACCAAAACTTGCTCCCCAAACCGCTCTGCCCCGCTCGATCTGTCGATCTCCTCTCTGTGGATCAAATTCATACTTCAATTTCCGCATGTTCTGTTTGTATTTTTATTTCAGATGGAAGTCGGATCATCGCATTCGAATCAATATGGATGTATAAAGTATGTTATATACATACAGTGCATAAATATAAATGATTTCAAATGGATTTTCACCTATATAAAAAAATATATGCATATGAGTTTATTAATAAACATACACACACACACATTTATATATATGTGTGTGTGTCAGTGTATATAGACATATACAAATATATACACACTCTCACAAGTATATGTGTGTGTGTGAGTGTTTGCATAAACACAAACACACCCACACACATACACATGCACACGCATATATATATATATATATATATATATATATATATATATATATATATATATATATATGTATGTATGTATATACACATATATATGAATAAATATATATATATATATATATATATATATATATATATTATATATATATATATATATATATATATATATATATATATATATGCATATATATGTATATATACATATATATAAATCTACATAAATGTATGAATATATTATATAATATATATATATATATATATATATATATATATATATATATATATGAATTTATATGGATATATGTGTATCAATATTTATATATATTTACATATATATGTATATATATGTATATATATGTATGTATGTAGAGGTATATATATCTGAGTATTTATTGATTTATGCATATATGTATGTATATGTATACATATTTACGAATATATATATATATATATGTATGTATGTATATGTATACATATTTACGAATATATGTATATGTATGTGTACACATATTTGCGCACACACGCACACACACGCACACACACACACACACACACACATATATATATATATACATATATATGTATATACATATATACACATTTCCTTACATATGTATATATACATATATATATATATATATATATATATATATATGTGTGTGTGTGTGTGTGTGTGTATGTATGTGTGTGTGTGTATACACATGTTGTGTATATGTATATATATATATATATACACCCACACCCACAAGCTATACACACACACAATTTATACATATATTTGTATATATACGTATATGTATGTATGTATGTATATGCATACATAAATCTACATGTTTCTATATCCAGATAAATGTATATTCAAATACATATATATATGATTTATATATGCAAGGACACACGCACACGTGGGGGGAAGTACAGCCACACTATGCAAGTTAATATAACGCAATATTTCGAACATCTTTTCAGATGAATCAATGAACCGAAAATCATCCATCTACTTTGCTAATTTGCTTCGCCATGGCGAGATGGAAAGCTACGTTCAATTTCTTTCATGTTCAGGGTGTATTTCCTTTCATTTCTGTGTAGAAGGTAATGTGTTTATGCTCATATATATGTGTGTGTGTGTGTGTGTGAGTGCGCGCGTGTGTGTGTGTGAGTGCGATTTATTTATGTGCACACGCGTACTCATACATATATTCTTACTGACCTTAATTAGACCCCTAGTTATCCTTTGGATTGGGGTCCATGACGCCTTGACTTTACCAACAGTATCATGAAATATTACCCCCATGGATCTATAAATACTGTAATGATCTATCAGTGCTATTGATGAAGGAGGGCGTCCCGTTCAGGTGGATATGCATTACCAAAATCTTATCACCCGACCGTCTCATTCCCGAAAAGGTGAATAAAATCTCGTTTATTGACCGTCTTAACACCTAAAAAACTATGATCAGTAGCCTTTGTTGGTAGTACTTAATCAACAATTGAAATGGTTGCTTTTCGGAACGCATATGTAACCAAACACTTTTATTAATAAATAAAATGTGAAATGTTGGTTTATTTAAAACTGACCGCTTTCAGCGTCTTATTTTCATGATTCTCACTTTGTGTCCTTTTATGGATTGCTAAACTTACTGAGAACCATGTTACAACTCAGACCTTAATGATATTTACTCTTTTACAACCTGACCTTTTTGATGAGCTTCACCTTGATTGTAAACTCTACCTCTTTTTACTGTAACCTTATAGTACAATCTTTATGTTAAAAAAAAAGTACTTTCTGGTCGAATTCGACTACTTTAGGTTATTTCTTCAGGAAAATGAGGAAGAAGTACAAGGCAGGTCTCAAACATATGTAAAATATTTTAACTATACTGTGTACTATGGATACAGAAGACAACACATAATTGTTTTTCTTTTATTATACAAATACAGATTTAACAGATAGTTTAGAAAAGACTTTTTCTTTTCTTTTCTTTTCTTTTCTTTTTTTTTTCTTTTTTTTGAAATAGAAAGTTAAGGCACGGAATAAAGACTTGGAAGAGAGGAAGCGCCACTGGATCCTCCACTAAATCCTACACTGACGACTAATTCTCCGCTGTTGCCACCGCTCACGAGACCGCCGTTGAAAGCACTGCTTCCGAATCCACTGTTTTCTCCACCTCCCACGAAACCACCGATTCCTCCACTTCCTCCGAAATCACCGATTTCTCCACTTCCTCCGAATCCACCGATTGCTCCACTTCCTCCAAATCCACCGATTCCTCCACTTCCTCCGAATCCACCGATTCCTACACTTCCTCCGAATCCACCGATTCCTCCACTTCCACCGAAACCACCGATTCCTCCACTTCCTCCGAATCCACCGATTCCTCCACTTCCTCCGAATCCACCGATTCCTCCACTTCCACTTCCTCCGAATCCGCCGATTCCTTCACTTTCGAATCCACCGATTCCTCCACTTCCTCCGAATCCACCGATTCCTCCACTTCCTCCGAATGCACTGATTCCTCCACTGCCTCCGAAACCTCCCACAACGCCTCCAGCACCGCCTTCTACCACTTGACCACCACCTTGGGAAGCAGCGTTCAGGGCAGTCTGGAGATCAACGCCGCTTGGAAGAACCGGGTTCTCACCGTCACCGTAGTTCACAAAATAAACTTCAGGTTCACTTGCTGGGGGAGCTGGGAGTTCGATCACTTCCTGTTGCTGTGGCGACTCTTTGTTGAGAACGTACACGACGTGTTCTTGTCTAGGAGGAGGTATAACAATAGGATCTGGTCCTTGTCCTTGTTCTGGTGCTCGGATGAACAAGATGTTTGTCTCAACGGTTGGTTCTGGAATGTATGGTGGGGGACCATGGGACACTGGTACGGGTGGCGTGTCATACAAGTAAACCTTGCGGTTGACGCGTGGAATGACGCATCTGCCGTCAACATGCAGCACCCTTCCGGGCCCGCATCCTCCTGAGCTAAAACCTGAGGCTAACCCTTCTCTTCCAAACCCTACCCCTGAAACTCCTCTTCCAAATCCTGAGCCTGAACCTCTTAATCCAAAGCTTGGTCCTAAAGGCGTATCTAGGTGATAGCCTTGGGGAGCCGCTGATGACGAGACCACGACCGTGGCGACTATTACCTGTGATAAAAATATATATATATATATAAACATACTTTGCGTGTTCAATTACACATCCTTTTAGAGAAAGAACAAATTTTAAATAAAAATATAAAAGTCGATAATATCCATGTATATCAGATAAGCCATTCTTACCAACAACTTCATGGTGAAATACTGTTTTCGTCATCCAAGTGACGGTTTATATATACACATGCAGATTCCTTTCGCTCAAGCATTCTCATATTATGCAGCGCCAAAACTTGCTCCCCAAACCGCTCTGCCCCGCTCGATCTGCCGATCTCCTCACTGTGGATCAAATTCATACTTCAATTTCCACATGTTTGTATTTTTATTTCGGTTGGAAGTCCGATCATCGCATTCGAATCAATATGGATGTATAAAGTATGTTATATACATACAGTGAATAAATATAAATCATTTCAAATGGATTTTCACCTATATAAAAAATATATGCATATGAGTTTATTAATAAACATACACACATTTATATATGTGTGTGTGTGTGTCAGTGTATATAGACATATACAAATATATACACACTCGCACAAGTATATGTGTGTGTGAGTGTTTGCATAAACACACAAACACACCCTCACACATACACATGCACACGCATATATATATATATATATATATATATATATATATATATATATATATATTCATATATATGTATATATACATATATATAAATATACATATATATATAAATATATTATATTATATATATATATATATATATATATATATATATATATATGAATTTATATGGAAATATACGTATCAATATTTATATATATTTACATATATATGTATATATATGTATATATATATATATATATATATATATATATAGGTATATATATATGAGTATTTATTGATTTATGCATATATGTATGTATATGTATACATATTTACGAATATATATATATATATATATATATATATATGCGTGTGCGTATATGTACACATATTTGCGCACACACACACGCACACACACACACGCACACACACACACACACACATATATATATATATATATATATATATATATGCATATATACACATTTCCTTACATATGTATATATACATAGATATATATATATATGTGTGTGTGTGTGTGTGTGTGTGTGTGTATACACATGTTGTGTATATGTATATATATATATACACCCACACCCACACCCACAAGCTATACACACACACAATTTATACATATATTTGTATATATATGTATATGTATGTATGTATGTATATGCATACATAAATCTACATGTTTCTATATCCAGATAAATGTATATTCAAATACATATATATATGATTTATATATGCAAGGACACACGCACACGTGGGGGGAAGTACAGCCACACTATGCAAGTTAATATAACACAATATTTCGAACATCTTTTCAGATGAATCAATGAACCGAAAATCATCCATCTACTTTGCTAAT